ACATATCAATAGTAACTTCTCTTGGCTGAGCATCTCCCTGAGCGTTTTTATGAGCCTGTTCCTTGATTAAAGAACGAAGTTCCACCTCAAAGTGGAGATACTGAGCAGGGGATAGGCACATTTTTGCAAGGTGAAAAACGTCATGTGGAACCAGAGAATAAGTCTGAAGTACATTGTCCAACAAACCCACTGTATAGGGGCTTTGGATGCCATTAGTTAGCACGCTCTGCCTGAGGTCCTTTAGGATGTTAAAATCAAATGAGGCATGAACATACATGTCCACCTTTGAGTTGTCGGGATCAGACAAAATAGAGAGAGGAAAGCACAAAGGGTCTCCCACTGCCTTGCTCGATGTCACAGCCTTTTGCAGGGTATGGCAATAGAGAGTGGCCCCAGAAGTGGGCTTCACAAAAGGGGCAGCTAGACCTTTGTGAGATGGCTGAGGGGCTAGAAAATTAGGGTCTTCCTCAGCATGCTGTGGTGGTGGAGCAGAAGCCGCAGTGAGATGAAAGCACATGGGGGAAGAAGCCAAACAAGGGGAAGCCTGGACAGAAGGGTTGGTGGGAGGAGGAGTAGGTGAAGTCTCCTGAACTGACAGAGAATTTGAGACCAGAGTGGACTAAGGCCAAACTGGGGAGCATTCGGGGGGAGAGACAGTCACCCTTCACCAGGCCTCATGGAGAACGGTACCTACACGTTCCCATGCTATTAAGTTAGTTGTCCCTTCCTGGGGAAAAGATGGAACGTACATTTGTAGGTCTTTTAACCTATCATAGAGTCCTTAGGTACTGGGTACATAGCTTGCTTTAACAGCAGCTTAAGTAATTTGGCAAAGTTACGCTGCTCAGATGACAGAGACTGACCCATAGTTGTAACTCAGAAAAGATAGAAAATTACCCCCAGCTGGACACACCACCAGTGTCCCTTGTCCAAGTCCGGAAATTGTCCTGGGAGATCCGTGTGCTGTCTCTTTTACTCTGAGTTTGTCTCACAGGTGAGTTCACCCCTGGATCCAATTCACATCCAAGTTGGGCCCCAAATGTAGGGAACAGGGAAAGGGGACATTACTAGACCCTCTGCAGTAAGTCCTAGTCTCCTGTGAGCCACAGCAGCACAAGGCGAATTAGAGGAAAGGTAGAAAAATGAGACTGAGAAGAAGCTGAGCTTTGGGTCTGATCAGTGCTACTCTGGGCGGCAAAGACCAAAGCTCCAGCTTACCGCACCTTTTATTCAGTACTCAGTACATCGGGAGAAACAAATGTAACAAATGACTTGCAGAGAGTTCAGTACATCCATGTAAACAAGATGGTAACAGTCCAAGAACAATGAGGAACTGAGTAGATATTTGTTCTTCCCAGGATGTCTTCAGCTGGTGTAATCTTGTCCTGGAGAATCACAGCATCACTGGATCACTGAGGTCTCAGTTGTGACTGGAGGCCAAAATGGAATTATGTCTCAGAATTCCATAGCTGGGCTGTAGGCAGGAGAACTAGGCCTAATGAAATGATTTTTTCCCTAAAATTATGTAGCATTGCTCCTGACATTCCAGAAATTGTGGAAAGAAATACATGGAGACACAGAATTTGGGTAAAATAATAAAAGTTTTACTTGCAAGCAGGTGGGACTGCCAGAAACTGGTCTGGTCAGTGTCTGCCCTGAGTTCTTTGTTAGTCCCCTCTTTTATACCTGTGTTAGTCATTATCTAATCCCTAGTGGTCTTTGATGTGTAAATACAATTCCAGTTCTTATTTACAAGTCACAGACACAAGATAAGCACATATACATTGTAGATTTACCCAGGCATTGTTACTTTGTTAGGTTAAAATGTTACCTATAATGAAGTTACTGGTTAAAGAATCAGCTAACCATCACCTTAAACAGCAAGAGTTACAGGTAAAGCAAATCTTAAAGGAATACATTACTTATTTTGCTTCTACAACTACTTTAATATTCAATCTACTAAGTTATCTAAATCTTTTCCCTAACAATTTAACAGCACATAACATGGGTAAAACTCACCCATTTTTTGACACATGTGCATACACCTTACCATTCATTGTATCAAGTGGGTAAATACAAAGATTGCTTCCTGTATTCCTCCAGCACAGCTACTGAGATGCACAGCCAGCTACCATTATGTGAAAGTACACATTTTCATTAGAAAAGTATGGTATGGGCATCTGCAACCCAGTATGAGGAACTGAGGGAAACTATTCTTTCTTCTTCTAGGGCTATTATGTTTATTTTATATCTTTTGATATTGTCCCATTGCTCTGAGATGCTTTGTTCTGCTGTGGGGTTTTTGTTTGTTTGCTTTCCTCCTGTGTGTTTCAGATTGGATAATACTAATTCTATTTTAGGTTCATTAGATTTTTTTCCTTAGCTGATTCAAGCTATTATTTTTTTAAAATGTATTTTCATTTAATTCTTTGTTAAGGAAAGAAGTTTTGATATAATTTCTACTGAATGGCCCATCTATTCATGCCTGTTGTTTACCTTTTCCACTAGATTCCTTAGTGTATTACTAGTGGTTATTTTAGAGTCCGTGTCTATAGTTTTAATATCTGGGTGACAGCTGAATTTGTTTTGTTACTGTTGTTTGCTTGTTTTTTTATATATCTTACAAGTTTTTCTTCGGAACCAGTCTTTATATGTAAGAATCTGAATAGTGAACACTTGGTAGTATTTGTGCCTGGAAGTAGGCCTGTCTCCTCTTCTCTTAGGTCTTTATTATTTGGGGTTATATAAATTTAGTTAGGAGTTGAGCTTGGTTTGGGTTTTGTCATTGCTGTGGTTGCCCTCAGTTCAAAACCAGTTTCATATTTCTTGAGAATTCCCTTGTGCTTAGGTTGGTGTGTGAGTTGTTACTTTTTTTTTTTTTTTTAAATGCATGTCTCTCGTAACTTAGGTTTCCCCTGTGAGCCTGTGTCCCAGAAAGGGTCTCTCTCAATGCTCCTTGCTATTGCTTGTCACTTGGAACAGGCTAGGTCCGTGGCAGGGAGCAAGAGGACCTTCTCTGTTACTCTGATGATGCATTACCCATCTCAGGGAGGCCCTTTGAATCTGGGCATTGAGGTGGGGCTCCTCTCCCAGTGGCAGGAGTCCTCCAGTTTGGGCACAGAGTGGGCTCCTGACCCTCCTGCAGGAATAGAGGTTGTTGTTTACTTCCCTGAGCAACAGTGGGAATTTGCCCACGTTCTGGAGAAAGGGGTTTTGCTCACTTTCCCCAGTGAGCTTTCCTCACTGGTGTAAGACTTTTGTCTGTGCATGGAGACAGATCTGGTTGGGGGTTCATATCTCTCAGGCAGTGTGTGTGTGTGTGTGTGTGTGTTGGGGAGTCTGTTCTTTTCTTTGCCCGGATCTGGAGGGGCACTCATTTCCACATCCCAGTTCACCAGAGAGAAACTGTGGAAAGCAGTTGGTAAATGCCCCTTGTGGCTCATCCTCCCAGTGTTTGTATACTTTTATGGTAGCCCACCTTTGGCCTTTTGCAGTTCATCAAAATGGTTAGCTGAGAGCCTCTTTCTCAGAGGTACAGTAATCCAGCCTTTATCCTGTGCACTACCCTGATCCTCTGGTGCTCGCTCCAGTACATCCTAAATAGAATTAGAGGCCTCCCTAAAAGATCTCATCCCCTAAATTGTACCCACCTCTAATACAGTTTTCTTAGTATCTTAGGAGAGAGTGTGTCAGACATTTATATCTTTAATGATACTTGCATTAATGGATTAGATAGAATGTAGATAGTTTTTTTGCTTTCCTGCTGTACCTTAACTCAGTAAGTTTGGAAAGGAGAGAAGTGCTAGGCAGTTCATGCTCCCAGAGAGAAGATTTTATTTACATTGTTTCTACGTGTTTCATAATATTAGGGAGGCAAAAGCACCTCTCAAGGCTTGGGAAACATGAGTTTTTCTTAAATTGAGGCAATGGAATTCTTAAATCATCCTCTTAAGGTGTGTGGGCTAAGATAAATGTAGTAGAGATTACTTCATGCATATGGAGAAAAATATATTGATTTTCCTGTATATCTGCTGTACAACTTAATTATCAAACTGTCCTAATGTTGTTTCATCAACCATTTATAGCCTCCTGTGAGTTACATGGAAGCAAATTCTAGACATAATTATGTAACCGTGTAGATCCTTGTACCAGGCCTTCTGTACTTTAGTTTTCATTGATTGGCTTTGGATCCAGAAAGACAGCATTTGCAAATTCTGAACTGTTTGCATTCAAAGGCATTTAGTGTGTGTCAGTATATATTCCAGACCTCTTTGATAGCTGTTTTGTAGCTGTATCTACTACAAAGATGCCTGAGGCAAGAGCATTTCTTCCTGGTATTTATAGACCTTGCTCTCTCCTTGTACCACATTTAATGTATTAGACTTTGATCGGGTGTCCTTAGGTAATTGAATTCACAGTGATCAATTAATTTTTATATTCCATTTGGACTATTGTTTATTCCTATGTGTTCAGAAGAGAAGACAAAATTACTTTATTTTTCTTCTGGTTACATTTCAGATGTGTATATTCAATGTGTATGTTCATTGTTTTAACTCCATGTTTGTTGTCATTTCTTTCTTTTTTTGTTGTTTTTGTTTGGTTCTTTTTGGTATTGGGGATTGAATCCAAAGCGTCACACGTACTAGGCAAGTGCTTTGCTACTACACTTCATCCACATCCCTTTTTACTTTTTAAATTTTGATACAAGGCCTCGCTAAGTTGTCCAGGCTGGGCTTGAACTTAAGATCTTCCTGCCTCAACCTTCTGATTAACTATGATTATAGGTGTGTGCCACCATGCCTGGCTCCATGTTCTTATTTTTTTTTAACTTATTGTAAAATGATATTAGACTTTAGAGAAAAATTACAAAGCTAGGAGGAGTTCCCATATATCCATTACCCATCTTCCTTTACTTTCCACAGCATACATAGCCATAGTACAGTGACCATATAATACAAAACCATGTAGTGAACAGTGGTTATATGTTCTTAATTTAACAGCTGCTGAGATAGTCGAAGAAATTGAAAACATGGAGAAGACCAGGATGCGTCTTGAAGCAAGTAAACTCAATGAAAGTGTATGTTGATGATCCTTTTCAGTATCTGGATAGAAATGAAGGAAAGAAAAATGTAATAGTCTACCAAAATTACAGCCAGCTAGTATTAAATCTGTTTAGTAGGAAATGTACTAGGACACATTTCTCTTTAGAATATTATGATTTATTTGCAGCTCACTCTTAACACAGTTTTCAGTCATAGTTAGCAGACTTGCAGCACAAAATGCAACACCCAGGTAGAGTTTGTTCAGGAGCTAGAGTCCTTTAGGGTGAGCCTGTGACTTTGCATCGGGGAGCTTTGATACTGGTCCTTTGTCTGATGGTTGAGTTTGGTAAATTATTTAATCTGGGGCCTTAGAGACTTCATCTGTAATACTAAGGAGCCTGAGCTGCATAACCCTAAGATCCTTTGTAGCTCTGGTATTCTATACTTCTGTGGTCAACTATAGTTAATGGGGATATTGGGCTGGGGATTTAGCTCAGTGGTTCTGCCACCTGCCTTGCAAGCGCAAGGTCCTGAGTTTGATCCCCGGTACAAAAAAAAAAATTTTATGGGACTATTGAGTAATTATAAAAGTTATGAAGATTTTACTGAGTTGTTAAGGGAGTCAGAGACCCAAAATTCTTCAATGTTGCTTTCTTCTAACTTGATGACCCAAAATTTGAAGAAAGGATTTCAAGGAATGAAATAGTCATTGTGTCATATGACACTGCAGGAAGCATTTTGGGTTCTCCAATGTGTTTGTAAGGAAACCAGTTACTTTGGGAAGTAAGTTTATAACCAGGCGATAGAGAAAAAGGATTTCTCTTGACTTTGTCATTGCCTGTGTGCTAAGGGTAAGATGGAGTGGGACTATCATAAATTATGTAGTTAGATTACTTGTCTTGTAAGTCTGAGATTTTAAAAGGTGGAATTATAAATTTAACACACTAACACTTGTATTATTGCTTTTTTTTTCTATATGACTTCTCTAATATGACCTGGAGAATTTATGTGGAAAAGAGAGAAGGCAGATATATATACCTTATCACTGATCAACTAATGTCTTCAGCCTTTAAATTCTAGGTATTACCTGTTACATCAATGAATGTAGAAAATGAGATATAAAAATAGGAAATCTAATGGATTGTTTTGTTAATACTTTACATATTATAATGAAATCAATGTTGCATTTTTTACTGATGAGAAAAAAAGGGTAAATGTATACTATTTATGATAATCATAGGAAGCATTCCTAGATCTATAGAAAATAGATAAAGGATTATTCTCCATTATAAATACTCACATTTGAGATTCCTATGTTCTCACTATTAACTTCCATTTTTGTCATTTTAGGTGGAATTTTAAATATTTTTCTTGATTATTTTAGGCTATGGTTTTTACAAAGGACCAAACAGAAGAGGAAATAGATGAAATTCACAGTAAATATCGTAAGTTGTACAATGGTTTTTTATTTGCAAAGAACTTGGGTTGCTGTTTTGCATTTTAATTTTTTAAAAAATGTTTTGTATTAGTGTTTGATATAAACTTTTGTTAATATTACTTCAGAGACCAAAGTTTAGTTGAATATTTAATCAGGCAGTAACTTATTTTTGTACTGTATTCACCTGCTTTTTTTTTTTTTTTTTTTTGGTATCGGGGATTGAACTCGGGTCCTTCCCCTCACCTGCTTTTTGATTTGTGACTAACATGCTTTGAGCTTATCACAAGCACTTTGCAGATGTTAATTAGTTCTCTGAAAGTATCTCCATAAGAAGACGAGATTAAAATGAGACATTCCTCACTCCATCTTATCCTCCGGCCTTCAAAAACAATTTTTCTGTAAGGAATTTCAATACTGTGGTAGCTTTTGCAAATTTGTACTAAAAATACTTCTCGTTTTATTGTTCCTAAACTCCAACTTTATCACCACCTTTTTGTTAAATGGTGTTTGTAGAGATCTTTTCTAGGGCTAACTAATACCTTTCTGGTTTATCAGTTGGGTAGCTGTTATTCATTGTTTACTTGGTTGGTTTTTAATTTACATTTAAGTTCCTGGTGAACAACAGGTAGGTAATAAATGTTGATTAAGTAAGTATACTCAGTCAGGATATGTTATAGTTGTGCTCACAGAAGTTTTTCTTTTTTAATTCTTATGTTCTAAAGGGCAGATGCAGCATGCTGTGGGTGGGAGGGAGGCAGCAGTGCATGTGCAGTAGTTGTTTAGTGACAGCCTGTGCCTTGCTAGGGCAGGAGTCAGAGCATTTATGTGCATGGGTTCCTGAGTATGACAAGAATGTGTTTGATCAACTGTCGGAAGTCAGGGTGATTCTTTAAAGTGGAGATAGAAAAGAATATCAAATAATCATTGAGTTGGCAAAAGTAAGGCCTGAAGAAGTGATGAGACAAGAACATTTTGTATTGAGAAAAAGTAATTTAATTAGAAGGATGTTTCTAACAATTATGCTATTACAATTGGATTAGGTACAGTACAAAATATGTACAAATATTTATTGCACAATTTAGCTATCTTAAAAAATGTATAGCTTTACTAAATAGGTCATGTTAAATTAACACATTTAGCTCTACAGTATACCTCAATGCACGCTTTTTTTTAAACCTGTGGGTGTTTCAGGGCCGGGGATTTAGCTCAGTGGTTTTGCTGCCTGCTGTGCAAGTGCAAGGACCCGAGTTCAATCCCCACTACCCCCCCCCAAAAAAACCTTTGGGTGTTTCATAAAGGTTAAATGCTTAGCCTTACATTTTAATCATACATTTTGATTTAGAATGGCCAGGTATGGTGGCACATGCTTGTTAATCCCAGCACTCAGGAGGCTGAGGCAGCAAGATCACTGCAAGTTTGGGGCCAGAATGAACTATGCAGTGAGATCCTGTCTCAGAAAATATTTTAATTTAGTGTAGGGATCCAAACACATGTACTATTGCTATATCTTATTGTAAACATTTTTATTAATGTTTTACTTGCATGCAGTTTTTAAAAGACTACTTATCTCTATGAGGCTTATTATAAAAGGGCAGTTTCCTGCCTGTTCTACCAATAACCTGTCTCTGTTCCCATAAGGTAACGACTGTGAAGCCTTTTGCCTTTTCTTGTGGTTATCATCTTCTATTTGCAAAAAAAGATTAGTGTTTCTGATACTTCTTGGAAACTTTCAGTTTTACCTGTAAATATTGATTTCCTAATATGAAAAATGTGAAGACTTAGCTTTTTCATACATCCATACCTCTCTGCCTCCCTTTCATCCTCTGAATATAATTAGGTCATATTTTATAAGATTAGTATTTAGTTAGATACATTATTAAGCCAGACTATATATGAGATATTAGAGATATAGATATAATTCCTTTCTGGAAAATATCCTGTTTTTCTTATAATTAATAATTGTCATTCGTGTCATGTGAGACAGTATATGAAGGTTCAGTGACTTGTGTAGTAAAAATAGTTTACCAGTAGACAAATAACTTAGAAAATATGAGTTTATTTAGTCAGGGTAGCTGTCAAGAGAGACAGCAGGAAATTTACCAAAGAGTCACATTGAGAGATTGGGGTTTTTAATCAGGATTTGAGGATAAAGAAAAATGGTTTAGGCATCAAATGTGATTATCTAAGGAATGTCTTTTTCTGGATCATTTAGTACCTTGCAGATATTCCTTGAGTACCTGTATTGTGTTAAAGTTATGTTTATAGTTGTAATTTCGACAAGATCCTTTCCTCTGGCTTATAGAAGGCCTTTAGCTGTGGGTAAGAAGCTGATAAGGAGGTCTACACATATCTTTTAGAGAAGATGGATCAAGACTCATTGGGAGAAATGAATGGGCCTTATATCTAAAGGTATGTTGCTGTCTTGTGATCACCTTCAGAACTAGATGGCTTTAACAGGAGTTCAGCTGTTAGAGGTTTTAACCCTTTTGTTGCCAGTGGGCAGCACTGCAGTTCATTTGTTAATTTTCTATTTGCCCACCATTAATATATCTTTGAACTTTCCATCACTTTCTAACACAGTTAAACACATCAATACTATACTACCATTATTATTTGGGAACAATTTTCTGGAGCAACCCCAGTCTACACTGTTTGCCTAAGAATAGGCCTCTTGCATGGCTGCTGTCTTGGAATTTCTTTTCAATCCCCTGCAGATTATCCTCTTCTCCCTTCTATTATAGTTCACTTATTCCGTGATTCAGAGCTGCCTCTTCACTTTCCTTATTTTAGTGAAATACTGTTGGGAGCAATGCTACATAATTCTAGGGAAAAATCATTTGAGTAGGCCTAGTTCTCTTGCCTACAGCCCAGCTACAGAATAACTCCAGTTTGGCCTC